GTAGTGGCTTTTTGGGAGCCCAGGGTCTGAGACCAGAGGCTCTGCGCGACGAGCTGGATGGCACGGGCAAGGGCAAGGTTCGCACTCGCCACCAGTACACCAGGCGCCCCTGGGACGGGGAACCTGGGTTGACTTTCTTTTTTTTTAGGAAGATGTGGGTTAGGGTCCTTCCAAACAGAGGTCTGCTTGCTGCTAGTAGCTGCTAGAGGCAGTAGGAGCAGCATCTTTCTCGCCGCGGAAACGCCTTTACCGAGAGCTTGAATCTAAACCCAAGGCTTTGAGGAACGGGTACACCCGAACCCATGTTACTCATTTATTTTTCGAACCGATAGCCAAGGCTCGTCCCAGCTCGAAGCCGCAAGCTCCGAGACTTCTTGGGTTGGCGCGAGAACCGAAAGAATAACTCGCTTTCGTTATCTTTGTAGTTATGGGGCAGAACTCGCTTCAACAGAGAACCTCCAAGCGGTTGGCGGCTTCAAGTAGAAATTCCGAAATGCGCACACTTCGATGGACCCCCGCAAACCCTAAACCCTAAACCCTAACCCTCAACCCTGGGTGCAGGACGGCAGGGCACGTGCCTCTGGTGGAGGCTTGGGGAGCCTGAGGTTTTTCAAGAAGGGGCTGTGGGGTTGGAGCTTCTTCTTAGGGTTTAGGGTTTAGGTGTTTAGGGTTTAAGGTTTAAGGGTTTAGGGTCAAGAATTAGGGTTTAGGGTTTAGGGGTTTAGGGTTTAGGGGTTACCCGGCAAAATTTCAGGAGGCCCGGCTGCAAAAAGGGTTTAGGGTTTGGGGCGGCCTGAATTGAGGCGCTCGTACTCGTATGAAGAGCAGTGCAGCATGCTAGACCATAATTTGGATCAGCCGTGATGTGGGTATATGCAGAGTTCCAAGTTTTTGGGGCCAATTCGGATCGAGGGTGGGGCAGAGTGAAAACCCTAAACCCTAAACCCTAAAACCCTAAGCCCTAAAACCTTAAACCCTAAAACCCTAAACCCGAAACCCGAAACCCTAAACCCTAAACCCTAAAACTAAACCGCCAAAACCCGAAACCCTAACCCGAAACACTAAACCCTAAGCCCTAAACCCGTAAACACCCTAAACCCTAAACCCTAAAACCCCAAAGCCCGAATCCCTGAACCCAGTCTCTTCACCTGACTGAACGCGCGAATCGCGGAAAGGAAGCCCCAAGCTCGAAGCATCGAAGCCCACCTGATTCAAGCAACTCAGAAACATGACGTATCCATGGTAATAACAACAATTTGACAATAATAACAGTAACAATAAGAAAAATGATAATATGAAAAAAAGGAAAATACAAAAATCAAGAATAAGAACAGCATAATAATAGTAGTATAAAGTATGCTAAATGCAACCCTTAACCCTAAACCCTAA